CAAGTGATCCCAGCTGTTTTACTGCTTGGCTTCCCTATCTTCTACTTTGTGACCTTCGGCCTCATTGTCCCAGCATCAGAGCAACTAGGTGATGATGTGCTTCCGTGGTTGATGGGTAAAATCTTTTTGCATATTCCATAGCTCAGTTGAGGACTAGAGTTGAGAAGTCACCTCTTCTTCCTCTTCCCCTGATTCATGTAATAATATCTCCTGATCAGATCCTGTCCCTTGTAGTAACTGCTTTGCTTCTTCATCTTTCTTCACTGTATGGGTTACTTTTTGTGCCTCTTGTTTGCTTTTCCCCTTGCATACAGGGGCAACCGATACTGGCACAAATTGGTCCTTTGGTTTAGCTGCAGTGACTGTCACCATGGTTGGAGTGTCTGCAGTATCTGTTGTCAGGGTTGGTGCAGCCACTGTGCTTGGGTGTTGAGTAGCACCAGTATCTGCGCTGTCTGTTGCTGTCGGGGTTTGAGTAGCTGCTGTACTTGTCATTGGAGTGGGTGTAGTTACTGGTTTTTGGAGCTGGAGTAGCTGTGTTGTCTGTTGTAGTCAGAGTTAAGCATAACTGCTGTACTTGTCACTAGGGTTGGTGTATCTGCTGTATTTGGAGTTGGAGTAGCTGCACTGTCTGTTGCTTTGCATCAGATCCAGAGACATTTTGTTCACTTTGAAGGTGCTGAATAGTGTTGAACAAGGCTCTGTAAGCACAGGCCAAGCCCCAGCACATTGCCATGATTTGTCCCTCTCTGATATGATCAGGATGACAACACACCTCATTTAAGTGTTTTACTAATTTTTCCAGATTTTGCACTTCTTCAGTGGTGAAGTTCCAAAGCACTGGAGGGGCCCACAGGCCTAGATACTTGCCCATGCTATCCCACACACCCTGCCACTCATGACTGTCCAGCCTTAGGGAAAATCTCTTAGTCCTCCTATATCATTGTCTAACCCTAGACAAGACCCAAACCTGACTCTTCTTAACTTTCGAGATCAGATGAAATGGTCATGGGTAAAACACACTCTGAATGCGTGCCAACATGGTGGTCCCCATCACAATCAGCAGGCAGGTCTCAAGGGTACCCAAAGGCCATTCAGAACCTTCAGAACTTTCAAATGATGCTGTAAGTAGTCTGATGGGGGAGCTGGGAACATAAAGGAATGTTTCCTTCGTAGGTTGACCACCTGAGGAGGGGTAAAAAGATGTGTAATTGCTTAACACTTTCATTATATACCTCCCAAATTATAGAGGTGATGACCGCACTGGGAATTCAAGCCAGATCAGTTTCATGATCAATGAGTCTATTGTATTACAAGTCATTACCATAAAGTACAGCAAAACAAGAACCTTAGCCCAAGCACCCCAGCCAATAAACACTAAACCACAAAATACTGGCTGTAAGTGAGGTATGACATGCTGAAACTGTGAGATCAAGAGCAACAACTTTGAGAGACAATAATCAGCATTGTGACAAGTGACTATTAATCAGAAACAATAAATGCTTATGACAAATGTGATTAGAAACACTCTGGTCAGATCTGTTGTTATCTCAACCCTTTGTGCCCCACATTGGGTGCCACAAAGAACTGTAGTGGTTTGAGCCCAGCCAGTAACTCAGAACCACGCAGCCGCTCACTCACTCCCCCACTTCCTCCCCCAACTCCCAGAGGGATGGGGAGGAGAATCGAAAGATGTAACTCCCACGGGTTGAGATAAGAACAGTCCAGTAACTAAGGTATAACACAAACCACTACTGCTGCTGCCACCAATAATAATGATAAGGGAAATAACAAGGGGAGATAATACAACTGCTCACCACCCACCAACTGATACCCAGCCCGACCTGAGCAGCGATCTCACCCTTCCAGGTAACTCCCCGCAATTTATATAGTGGGCATGATGTGCTGTGGTATGGAATACCTCTTTGGCTAATTTGGGTCTGGTGTCCTGTCTCTGCTTCCTCCCAGCTTCCCCTCCTCCCTGGCAGAGCATGAGACTCAGAAAGTCCTTGGTCAGAGTAATCATTACTTGGCAACAACTAAAACCATCGGTGTTACCAGTGTTGTTCCCACACTGAAAGTCAAAAACACTGCGCTGCACCAGCTACTAAGAAGGAGAAAAATGACTGCTGCTCCTGAACCCAGGACAAAAAGATGAAGACAAAAAAATAATGAGTTGATGGCCTGCTGCCAGTCAAGCTTGCAGGTGGTCTCACTATGAATATACAAATACCTAATTAAAAGCCGATGTAATTGTTGTTCTGATAGTTTCCTCTTGCTATTTAGAATTTACATGTTTTATTACTATCTTCTTTGCAGACTTTGACATCTTTGAATACATTTTGATTTGATATAATGAGGTTAGTAAGGATACATGGACAAAAATTTTATTGAGACATGTGAGCAGTGGAAAGGAGGCTGTTTTGAAAAAAGAGATTTTGTGCTTGACCAATCTTTCTCCACTTTTCTAACTCCCTTTCTACTTGGGCCTTAATTGTAGAAACTTGTGACCCGCCTGTGTAAGTATTTTAGAATGAAGATATTTTAGGATAAAAAAGATAGTTATATAATTATTTCTTATAATGAGATGCTTCTTAGTCCAGCATGAAAGCTGTTGAACTGAGAGGCTTGAAACTAAGCCTGAAAGCACAGCTTGAACACTAGCACTAAGCAAATCTTTTCACTGTTTTACATTTCACCCATCTGCGAAACGGTATTGACATTATTTGTAAAATACTTTATGGTCTGCAGGTAAAAAATGTTCTCTGAGAACAAGATAACATTCATGGTCTTGGTAGCTTCTGTTCCGTGTTATGTTTGTATTGTATTTGACACAGCATTGTAACATTATGCTTCATGCTGTTCTGCTAGCCCTTTTCCCCGCTCATTGTGACATTTCCCTTAGGATATGAAAATCCCCTATAATGCTCTTAAGACTGGGTTATATCAACAGCAGCCAGCAAAACCACCTTCAGGCAGCAAAACGACTTTCACAAATGCATGGTAAATCATTAGTAAAATATATGTATCAGTAGCCATTAACCCCACCTTTCCCCTCATTCCTAGAATCACTACTAGGATCTCTTTTTATATCTTGTGTATTTAATTAAGTTTTCATGAATGAGGAGCCATCCTTTCCTCCCTGTCGCCTCCCAGTAAGCATATGATTTAGGATAAATAGCATGTCCAGTATCTCTTAGCTAGCATTACAAGGAGAAAGCAGAACTTAAAAGCTCTTACTTTTCCTTGTGAACTCACCATTCAGTTTTCTAGAAGGAAACAAAGGTATTTTATGTATTATCAGAGTTGGTTACAAATTCAGGTTTAGTAGATTAATTCCAAAGAATTAAAGCTAATTAAAGATTTATACACATTAGTGGTCTTTTACATTTAGCTGTGCATTGTGTTTTACTGGGTAAAAGATAACCACCTTCTCAAAAGACAAAAGATAACTACAGGTATTTTTTGAGCTTTACTGGATATCTATGTCCTACTCTATTCACTCTGACACATGGCAGGGGGGAGTCAAATTAATTTCATTTTCTGGTTGTGCATAGGCCTACTTAAACTGCAGTTTCACTGAAAGATCAAGCTGGCCTTCATTAGTTAAGCCACTGTAACTTGATTGTGCCATGGACAGCTCTGGATTCAATACCATAAATAGATAGCACTTTTGACAAGAGGGCAAAAATAGCTTCAGAATATTTTTCATGTTTGGCCATCAGTATCTCCCAAGTTATTTCCTCTGGGAATAATTTGAATGGAGGAGCTGTTTGGACGCGAGTAAAGAAGATACTCAGATTTTAGCCATTGCAAAATAGGTTTTGCCCTAAAAATCTGTCTTCTATCTTCCAAAGTGTTTTGATGATATTTACACTTGAGTTATGAAAGATACTGATCAAAATATTTTTAGCCTCAAGCATTTACAAAATAACTTGTCATGCTCCCAGATGATTTAAATATCATAGGTTTTTAAAAACTCAGGGCAATGAAGTTAAGCTTTTAAGATTTTCTTTATCTGGAGAAACCTACTGACTGTGCTTAGTTTATATAATTTATAAATTTATTTCTGTAATTTATATTTGAAAACCTAACTTTTTTAGTAGTAGGAATTTTGATAAAACTGCAAAATGCAACAAAAGAAGTAGAAAAAGAATTATTATATCTGAACACCAACAACAGCAAGGTAGGAGTTAATGAAAGGCCTTGTTACCTTCCCAGCTGTAGCTAAGCTGCTAGTAAGAAACTGGCTGGCATGAAATATTGCAGCTGAAATTTGAAAGGGGCAGTAGATGGAGAGGATGCCTAGGAGAGGGTTAGAGAAACTGCAAAAAGAATAATACTACAAGGAAGATTGCTACATGAGAAGCAAGAAGGAGACTGAGGCTGATAGGGAAGAAATACTTGCTTCTCATTATATGCCCTGTGGTTGAAGTTCTGAAAGGCAGGTGAGCTAGCATGCATTACATTAGTGCAAGAAGAAATGTAAAATAGTCAGGATTTATTTAGGCTTGGGCTAAAAAAGGCAAGAGGCTAGACCTATTGCTCACAGTTTGCATGAGCTTCCAGATTGTATGGAGAGATGGGATTAATGATCATGAAAGCACTACTGCAATGACAACAGGGAGGTGTCAAAGGTGTCAATGAAGCCTTGCAAAGGCATATCGTCAGAAGATACTCAGAAGCCTTCTTTAGCCTTATGGATTCAGCTGAAGGCCATTATATAAGGCTAGAAGGCTCATGCATAAGCAGGCGAGGGGAAAGACTGTAGTTACTCTTTTCTAGTTTATGTAAAAATTGTTGTGGCAGTCTTGCTTTTCTTCATCCTAAGTGACTTTAAATTGTATGTTGATTGGTTCATGTCATACAGGTTTGAAACCTACAGAGCTGAGGTTAAAAATAAACACCTCAGTACAACAGTAGGTTGGATTCTAGATAGAAAAATTAATTCACTCTTTCTTACTGTAACTCCAGTTTCAATGTCTTTTCCTTACATCTAGGCCATGTGTTTATACGATGGGATCGCCAATAAACAACAGAGCTCTTTTCCCATGCCAAGAGCCACCTATTGCCTTGTCAACGTGGCAGGCCTCCGTCCGAACAGCTGCAGACTTTGTTGTGTTAATGAGTGGTGAAAACTCAGCAGAGCCAGTCCAGCTTCAAGAAGGTGAGATATACTTTCTACAGCAAATTATTTTCAATAATTTTATAATTATAAATGTAGCTTAGTAGATATGTAATAGTTGAAATAATGAAATTCCTAACCTGAAAAGCACTTACTTGTCTGATTACATATCTGTAATCTCCATATCGTTCTATGGAAAGTTACTTGCCCAAGGCCTCAGGTTAGGAATAAGAATTCAAGGCATCTACATTTCACTGTGTTATTTCTACTTACTTTTTTCTGAGGTTTTATTCCTTTACTTTTCCCAAACTTTATTTTTCTAAACTTCACTTGGATTTAATCACTCTACAGTTGAACGTTTCATAGATGAGGTACTTTATCAGGCTCTTGACAACTTCAGGCCTTGGTAAATCATTAACTTCCAGTTTTAGTTTTCCAGTCGAAGTATAGATCAACATGCCAGTGATTAGAAGCGGTCATTGTGTCATGTCTGTTTCCTGAGATATATGGAATAGATGAAGAATATCAGGTCAGTCCCCTGCAAATCTGGTCTTTGGGGTTTTTTGACATTGGTAGATAATACATTGTGCAGCAGTAAGCAAGCAGATATTTTTCTTTGGTGTTGTTTATTCTCTAAACCTCTGTCTTCACAAAGAAGGAAGTTTTTAAGGCAGTTCTACGGGTAATACAAAGTATGTCTTGCTTCCATAGTTTTGAGATAATCTGTCAAACTGGGTCAGTTATTTTCTACTATAAATAGTTCTGATGAAAAGTAGCATATAGTAAACAGAATAGATGTTTATGGGGAAAAAAACCTCTTATGTTCCCCTTCAAATTTACTCTTGAGGGGGAAAAAAAAAGAGTCTCCTTGATTTGAGAACCATCAGTTAATCCATTTCCATGGAATTATCTGATTATTTTTGGCCATATGTGAAGCCTGTTTCAAGCCTTGTCTCTGCTGTTGAAATATGGAAAGCTGCCATGATAAGTACTCAGCTCACTTGGATAATACTACTTTCCTGTCTCACATCAAGAAAGCAAGCGTGCTATTGCCTTCAGATCAGAACAGCTCTGCCATCATTGTTTGATTAATTTAATCCACACTTAACACCTTTCTAAAGAGTTGTTGCTTGTCTGTCCCTCAGTGGTGGCTATGTGGTATGAAATTTTAAGAGCAAGAAGAATGCTTATGTGAATTTCTAGAAATAGAAACCTTGGAAAAACTTCAGGCAATAAAAATTGTCATAGGTCAGTTAAAACTGATACTTTCTTAGACCAGCTAGCTATTTGAAAATATTGTGAAATAATTATATCCTTATTAACATGTTTTGTCATTTAGTTTAAAACACCTATTAAAAATTTATACTTGAATAAAGAAAAAAAGATAACTAGTTGTGGGAAAAAACAGCTTAAAAATGCTGTTGATGGAGTGTTGAGAATTAAATCAGAGTACCCTGTCATTAATGATAGCACTGGGGCTTAGTTACCTAAAGTCAGTCTTGTCACCCATAGAGAACAGAAGGGGCTTTTATTTAAATCCTTGTAGTTGTTGCAGTGGATTACTTTATGTTGGTCATTCATGTGTCAGCATAAAGCTTTGTTTGGTTTAGGTTTATTTTTTGTGTTTGGTGTTTTTTTGTTTTGTTTAGGTTTTTTTAATTTTCCAAAGTCTGACCCAGTATATTTCCTTTCCTATGAAATGTGAAAGCAAGAAATACTGTAAGAAGTCTTTAATGGAAAGACTAGTAGGGAGGAAATGACTCATTTTAGCTTCGCTGTGCTGTTGAAGTGCTGAGTGGAAAGTGTGAACTGGGAAGAACCAAATGAAGTGTTAAAGCTGGCTCTTTTAAGAGCCATGTGACAATGTCAAAGTTTTGTGCTGAACTTAACTGAAGAGAAGCAGCAGAAGCACCTAGTGCATTTCTGTCCTTCTACCTTTCCTCATGATGGAATTCCCAAGAGTGTGGAAGTCCCTGCTTATGGACTATGTGGGACACACACAATTACTTAGGCTACTTTTGATGTCATGATGCGAAGTTGCTGGGTTTCTTTAAAGGTAGTAGGCATTTTGCTCCAATAGCTCTCAAAGACTTAATCATGGATGAGGCCTTGTAAAAATATGCAAAACAGGTATAGAGGAAGAAGGGGAAAGAATAATATTGTGAGAAATATTATAAGAACCAGACAAACCCAACGCTCAAGTGCTAATCTGAAGCTTGGGTAAATTCTTAATGAATTTAGAAATACAAATTCATTAATTTAATTAAGAAAACCTGAAGAGTTAAAAAGCTAAAAGTGGTCTGTAATGTTAAATAACCTGTCCTACATAGATTGTGTTTTTAGGCAGTTATGCAGGGAATATGAAATCTGTCCAGCTTAAAATTTTGTCTTTATATTTGTAAAACATACCTAAAAGTCTTTCAGGTTGGCTTCAATTAGAATAACTTTTCTTTGACAGATTATTTATATACACTATGCTATTGTTGTACTGCATATTTATGAAATCCTAGATAACAGACAGAACACAAAAATACATTTTTAAAATGCAGTTGCTATTTTGGCAAGCAGTTGTGGATGAATTTCTTCTGAATAGAATTACAAGTTATCTGAATATTTTTTCCTTTAAACATCATCACAAGTGTGCAAACAGACAATAAAAGAACACCAAGCAAGGATGATACCTTCATTCTTTTAAACAGAGCTCTGCATTCTGCTTCACAGACCTACATCTCTAGAGGCACAGATGCTGTAATCCAGAGTATTAGGTAGACTAGTAACACACACAAACTCCTCGTTTTGCCAGTTGTATTTGCAGATTTTGGTAACAGCGTACTTTATTCTGTATGTTTCATTTCTGCATTCTGCCTCTTACTAAACTATGGCTCATCCTGTCATTTGAAGTAAAGTGAGGCCACATTTGTTTGAAAATACTGATACTTCACCTACTCAAGTACATATTGTAACTATTCAAGTATGACTTAAAAGTGCGTGAGAATACCAAGCATTCTTTATGGAGTACTTAGAGAAAATAAAAAAATTGTTAGAAAAATGCAACTGACAATGCCTTTTGGCAGAAAGCTTTACAGAGATCACTCTGGATGTGTAATGTGAACCATTCAACCAACGGATTTATTTTTCAGCACTTGACAGTTTTACTTTCCTTCAGCATATTGCTGCAACACATAGAAGGTGCAAATGTATTTGGTCACAAGTACCTTTATATTTGTTTTAATTCATGTTCAAGGAGTAAATATCCAAGCATGAAGTGTGAAATTGACTGGCTTGCTCTTTGTGTGGTTACATTATGTAGCCAATTATTTTGTTTTGCCATCTCTGATACCAATGAGAAGGTGTATTCTATTATTGAGAGGAAATACTGTGGTGGAGAAGGCACCGGTATTGCTATGTAGCTAGCAGCAACAGTAGTTGTTTTTGTGTGTTTGCTCTCCTCTTGCTTTTCACAAGGCAAAATGAGTCCAGTGCTTGTGTTGATTGATCTCCAGCATGTATCAGGAGCTGCAGCACAGGAGTTGACAGCTCATCCCATGCTACTCATCCTTCCAGGCCAGTGCTACTCATCCTTCCGAGCCAGTGCTGAACTGATGCCCTGGCATGAATGTGCTCTGTGGGAAATTCTGGCTTGCAGATGAGATCAAAGATTTCTACAAGTTACAGAGAATTTTAGAAAGCTGGAGGGCTCTTAGTCCTGGTACTCCAACCAAAGAGTAGTTTTGGCATAAATACTTATTTAGCTACAGTTTTATGTATTAGCACTAGCTCCTTACTTTGCATAGCAAATGATGTGTGGGACTGTCTCTCTTTTTCCTTAGAGGTAGCTGAGTTTTGTGGGTTTTTTTTTAGTAAATCATCGACATTGTATGTATTTTGTGCTGTTTATATTTGTGTTAGTATAAACTGTTTGAAAGAAAATATACTATAAGTAAGAATGCTGTTAATGTTCTTGCATTTGGCATTATCAGATACTGACTGGTACATGTTTCTTCAGTTATAAAGGACTCCACAGGGCTCAGAGCAATGCTAAATGAATTAAAAATTCTAGGGATTAATTACATCATTCATCATCATTATTTCAAGTAGAAGAAATAAATGGCCTTTAAATTGTTCTTTTGCACAATTATAAATAGATTATTTTTTCCTACCCTTGTTAAAAGTAGTTCTAATTTTTGCATGGAAAGTTTTCCACTCACAGCTCATGGAGTAGGTGATTGTTGTTGCACAGTTTTTCAGTTATGACATGATAGATTTGATATGCAGAACTGAAAAAAAAACCCTTAAAAATATTTCAAAATTACTTGTAGAGAAAATATTTTGAAGTATTATAATTGCCTAAAATAATTTATGTGTAGGAATCAAGTTGCTTTTAAATTGCCTGGTTGTAGTGAGAGGGTATTAGCATTACAAATAAAAGGACCAGTGCACTTTTCCTCTGTTTATTCTATGGGCAAGCCCCAGCTTAGTCTCTTGTTCTTCCCAACATTTCCTTGCTTAGTCTGGAAGTGTTTTTGTGGTACAAAATACTGGTTTTGGTAAAGCAAGCCATCTTCCCCTTCAGCTGCATTGTTTTCTCTTACCCTGGAGGTGGTGCTGTCTCCAAGGCTGCCCTTTGGAAACCAGAGGGCAGCCAGGGGAAGGGAGGAGTAGTGTAGAGTTTGTAATCCCAGTCTGTACCCTGGGATAGATCTGAGGTTAGAGATAAAGGGAAACAGAACAAATCCCCTGGCCTGAAGAAAGTTAAAGGAAGGGAAATCACGGAGAAAAGGGCAGGTTGGAAGACAGTCTTACCAGTAGCGAGGGGAAAAGACAGACGGTAAATGAAGCTTAGACTCTTGAAACAGTAATGCATGGTGCTTGCTGGAGGGAACTGTTGCCAATATAAAGACTATTTCAGTCGTCCATCAGTGAACACACTATAGAGAGAACTCAGCTGTCATGCCAGAGCATGTGATTTCGGCTATTCAAGGCAAAACAACGGTATAACTATATAGTCACCCTTCACAGTTCAAGAGTATGAACGCAGAAGATAGATTGAGCCCCAGTTAGGTGTGTAAAGACAGTATAAATCTTGGATTTTGTTCTGGGAGTATCCAGAGTTCACATGCTTTCTATAATGTCTGCAAAATACAAGGGGCATGGAAACAAGACGAGGATCTGTATGTTAGTTGCTTTTCTTTTCTTCAGGAAATCCAAATTTAGAGAAATCTGAAAACACATACCAAGAAAAGCTAACTGACTTTGGTACCTTCACCTTTTTCTAGGGTTTGCTGCAGCGTCAAATAGCATATATTCATTGCTAATACCTGTAAATTTGTGAATACAGTACAAGCCGTTCTTTTCTCTGGACTGTTAAACTGATTCCCCATTCATTTTGACATTCTATTCACTCTACCTATGTTTTATAAGAAACCTCTATGGTCTTGCTTGCTCTAGCCTGTTTTGCTGAACTTGTTTCTCACCATAATCCTCTCTGTTCCCTCTGTTTGCACACTACAGGCCCACAGACACACTTTCCATGTAGCCAATCTCCTCACTGTTGTGACAGCTTTCTCCTTTACATCTTCTGCCGTTTAGAGCAGTTTTCTGTGACTGCCTTTTGACATTCATGCTTTTTTTCAGAACTCAATTGAAAACACATTAGTTTTTCCATTACGATTCCTCAGATTTTTACTCCTCCTCAGCTGTTACTTAATTCTTAAGGTTTTACAATTAGCATAACTGCATAAAACATTCTGTAATGCTTTGTATGCACGTAAAGTGCAGTACTGTAGCCTACCTGTGGGCCTGCTTGTGTACAAATCTAAGTCAATGGGAAAGCTGGTATTAATGACAGTGTGTCAATAAAACTCTCCACATCAGGAGTCTGGTATTTCAAAATAATAAATTGTTGTTCTCCTGGGTGACTTCTTTCTCTCCAGGTGTCATTTATTTGCCTTAGCTCATTTGTAGCCTTGGTAAGTTCATTGAAAAAAAAAAAAAACACAACCCAAAAAAGAGGAGGTGGAATTTGAAAAATAGTTATTATCCACCTTGTTCCTAATGTGTTTTGAGCAAATAAGTTCCTTGTGCTCACATGCTGACAGGAGGTTAGGAAAATTACAGGAGTAATGTATGTTCATCTAACGAACAATACAGACAAAAGGTTTCTGAAGGTAGTGGTGAATGTTGCCGAAAGTAGAATGGAGTGAAAGAGTGTAAGTGGTTGCTAGTGCATGTAAGAGGCAGAGGCTTTGTCTTCATCTCAGAAGACTTCACAAACACTATTGTTTTGTTGCACTAAATAGTAGGTGGAAAAATTGTTGAAGCTTTGTTTTTCTTGTCCTTCCTTTGTACAGCTTGATTTGTGGGCATTAAGGTAGGAAACCCACAGATGCTTTGCTGCAGTTGTTTATTTCCTTTCCTCTGTGCCTTGTGGCCTCCAATCTATTGTTGGTTTGTTTTTTTTTTTCCATTTTTTTCCTTTTGTTAGTCTTCCATAGCTGTGGTCATAATACTATTGCAAAAGAACAAGTACATGTTCTCTTAAAATAACCAGTTTGTATGTGTCCACAGTTGCCACAGCTACAGTTATTTGCACATGATTCAGCAGGTTGTAACTTCATGCTAGGCTTTTTCCGAGAGTGATTAAGCTATTAGAATGGTGTAGTAACTGTATTTGTGGCCATAAATAAGTACTTGAATGTAATTCTGAAGCTATATTCTTTCCAATAGGCAAATGGATAAACCAAAGCAACATTTAGATTAATGAAAAGTATGCTGTCCAGCAGAAACATCTCCAGCTTATCCAAATGTGTTCATAGGTACTGTCATCCTGTACTGTACTGTACTACTTGACTTACCGTCTTTTTACCTTCTAATACACTCTGTAAACATGTTTTAGCACCTCCTGGATTATCATGACCAAATCACTGATTTAGGCAATATCCCATCTGTTTCTAAGCTTTGATTTCTTACTGCCTCATTGGCACATCATGTATCTCAGATTTCCAGGTTGAATTCACAAGCACTGGTGTTGCTTGTTAGAACTTGCTTATCAGCTTGGTATGGTCCAGAACACAAAGAAAAGGTTTTATACGTGAGATAATACAGTCAGGACAAAACCATAAGGTTGTTAATCCAGGGTTGAAAGACTTAAAATTTATTTTTTCTCTATATGTGGATCTGAAGTTGCTATTAGGTTTTATAGCTGATTCAGTTCTTAGGCAGTGACAGTACGATCCTGTTAAGCTGCATTAATCACATCCCACTTATGGATGATTTCTTTATAGATAAAAACATCAGCAGATTGAAGAAAGTTGCATGTGTAAATGAAAAGTACTGAATCCATGGTGGTTACACATGACTCTTTTATGTGTCAATGAAATTATTTTTCTTTCCTCAACAAAAATACCAGGAAGTAAGGTGGGAGGTTTGGCCCAAAATCTAAGGTACATAAAAATGGTAAGTTCTGAGTGTGTGCTGTTACTGATGAGTCTGTACAAATGTTCTCTTTATTTACAGGTATCATGAGCTGGTACTACTATGTGACTATGCCAATGCCAGCATCCACCTTCACTATTGCTGTGGGGTGCTGGCAGGAAGTTAAACAGCAGGGCTTCACAGCTGCTATGCAGACAAACACTAAGTTTTCCCTGCCATCTTCACAAGCTGATTTCAGGTTAGTGTTCAGAATACTGTTGAAAAATGAGGTACATGGGTAGCATTTTCATTTACTCTCTGGAATGTGAAAGTGAGTCAGTACAGGAATCAAAACAGAACTTGTTTAATCTGAACAGAAAAATCTTGACAGGAAAATAATTCCAAAGGCATTATTTCATGGGCAAGGGTGTGGTTCTTTGTATGTGGAAACAAGCTGGTTAGTGAGCAACAGGGTTAAAAAATCCTGGTGTCCTCTGGATTTGTATTCTACATCCTGTATCTCTTAATGCCCTGATGCAGCAATAACACATCCTCCTTTGTTTCTTACGGTGCCTGGCTGTAAGGTCTGTCATGTTACCAAACTCAGGCTGTTTGGATACCCAGCACCCCTCACAATATTGCCTACTCATTCACGTTTTTCATTCCTGTCCAGTCCCATCCCAGAGCTAGAGCTGGCCTGTGCAGTGTGGCTTTCCTGGGGTGATGTGACTGAGTACATGAAAGACAGTTGGGCCATAAAACAAAGTTGGGCCAATGTTTCTTTTCAATGAAAAAATACCCTGTCGTCTGATATATGCAGTGGTTACTCGGCTGTCTTTTGGATACATCTATTCCTCCTTCTAATCTAGTCAAAACTGCTCATTAAGTTTAAATTATTACAGAGTAATGGATGAACAGAACAATACTATATAGGTCTGCAAGTGACATTTAAAGCTAAAAATTCTTTGGAGAAGTAACATTTGTTTGCCTGTGTATTCATAGTTAGCAGAAGTCTCAGACATGGCACTTGATTTACTCACATATTACTCTCAACTTTTGAAATTCATAGAGTCATAGAATCACAGAATTCCAACAGCCCAAGTTGGAAGGCACTTTAAAAGATCATCTGGTTCAGTGTGTAATGGGAAGGGGAGCTTAGATGAGGTTATCTAGCACTCATTTCCCCTTGTCTTCTCCTTGTGAAGGGAGACTGTGTCCTTTGTAGATGCCTTTTAAGTACTGGAATACTGCAACTGAGCCTACCCTCCCCTGCTCCTGTCCTCAGAAAAAGCCTAGCTCCTCCTGCCTTTCCTCACAAGGCAGGTTCTTCAGCCTTTCTTTCATTTTGTTGGCCCTCCTTTGGACCCTCTGCTGTCTGTGTCTTTCTCGAAATGTAGGGACCAGAACTTGACGCAGTATTCCAGATGCAGCCTGACGAGCACTGAACAGAGTGCAGTGATCATGTCTCTGCTAGTAATGCCCCTGTGGATGCAGCCAAGGATCTGATTTGCCTTTGTTTTTGCAGTGGTGCTCTGTAGAATCCTGTTCAGCTGCTTGTCCATCAGAAACCCTGGGTCCCTTTCAGGAAGGCAGCTCCCCTGACACACAGGTCCTAGCCTGTGCTGCGCTCTTTGGTTGTGTTATCCCAGGTGCAGGACTTTGAACATGTCTCTGTTGAGCTTCACACCATTCTTTCTAGCCCCTTCTTCCCGCCTGTCCAGGTTTCTCTGTAAGATGCTCTCCCTTCTGACATGTTCACCTCACCACCCTGGTGTCATCAGCCAACCTGGAGAGGGTGTTTTCAATCCCATCATCCAGGACATTTGTGAAGACGCTGAACAGCATGGGACCAGCATTGATCCGTGGGGGACTTGTGACAGGCTGCCAGCCTGAGTGTAAACCACTGATTATTGTCCTCTTGAGTGCAGCCTGTGAGTCAAGTTCCCACATGTCTTACAGACCATCCATCCAGTCTGTATTTCACCAGTTTGTCCAGAAGGCTGTGGGAAACTGTGATGAATGTTTTGCTGAAGTCCAGGCAAACAATATCCACTACTATTCCCATGTCAACAGAAAATGTTATTTTGTTGTAGAAAAGGGATCAGCTTAGTCAGGCCATAAGTATTTTTTGCTGTTATGCACTTAGAAATTTAACCAAGACAATACTTCGCTTTTAAATTGACGGTTTGGGCTTATGCTGTGTTAATGTAAAGACAGTAGACATCTTTACCATGTGATAAAGCTAGAGAGAATTTGGAACTTGAGGACCTAATAGGGATTTCTTATTAGAATTTTAAATGGAAGTATTCTGATGGCTTGCAGCATGACTAGTTTTGTAAACTGAAAATTGTAATAAATCTTGAGAATAAGAATTCTTATATTTTACCTAAGACCGGTAAGACATGAGTATTCAAGCTCTAAAATAGTTTATAGGTCTGATAAGCTTCTATTAGTTTTTTTTTGGGGGGTAGGGGAGTTTCCTCTACTATAGTATGTTTTTAATATGATTGCCTCTACAGAAATATGCTGTAGATGTTCACTATATATTCCTCTCTAATGTATAGCGTGTTCAGTAATAGAAATTTTTATTGATTTGGTGCAAAATATTATCTGGCAGAGCACTGAAAAAATAAATGAAAGTTTCAAATTTTTTTGTAAAACTTTTGAAAAGATAATGGAGATAAACTCCTTAGGAGCGGGAAAAGGAAAGATTTCTGAAAGTTGTTGAAATGTCCAGTGTAATTTATGTCCAGATGCCAGTGAGTTTGACATAAGGAGGCTGTATCAAAGAAAATGGTAAATAGAACTAGAGTGTTAAATAAGTTTCCTATCTCCTTGAGGTCATTAAGAACTTGGCAACTTTTACTAGAGATAGGGTACTAGCTTTCATGTTCTTGCATAATGTCAACTCTGATAATGAAATACAAAGTGACGTTATTTTAGAGCAGAAATATACTGGGCTAGACCACACTTGGAAAAAAAATGTATAATGATGGGTGTACATTTTTTGCATATATAATCAATGAAATAACATAGAGTTCACTTCTTTCACAGGAGGAGTTACATAAGGTGTGAAAAGTGTTGGCACCTAAGCAAAATGTAGTCCTTTTCTGTGTGTTATTATTTTGTTTTGTATGTCAGCACTCACCTGGAGCATGATCTTCCAAATATAAATGCTTTGGGTGGTGCTGGTGCAATAACAATAAATGCTTTGCCCGTTCAGACATAGAGCCAGCTTCCTTAAGTTAAATCTCAAACCAAGGAGAGGCTCTGCACTGTAGAGAAGTCAGGCTAACAGGTGAAAACATGAAACTGATTTCTGCTTAGATATGTCTGTTTGGGCAGATAAATTATTGTGAAGGTATATGACTCAGTATTTAGGAAGAATTTGATTTACCCCTCCTTTCTTCCAGCTACAGCTCTGAATGTACTGTAAAAGTAATGTAAATTAAGCTTGATCCTAAGGAAAAAAAAAACAAGCATGTAAACATTTTCAAATGTCTATAGTGACCTGAACTGATATCTACTCTTAGTTTTTACTTGCAAACAAAGAAACAAAAACCCAGTAAAAGTTCCTGAAGAATTTTAATAACAACAGAAAAAAGCCCCCTGTGAATTTCATTCTAATTACACTTACTATTTTAATAATATATAAAATTTTATGTTTGTAGTCAAGTTTGGATATGAATTCTCTGAATATTTTTGTATAATTAGTTTTCTTTAAGTACATTTTGAGCACTTATTCTTTTAATGCATTTCTATTATAAAACCAAGGTTTGATTGGTCTTTTTAGATACGAGTAACTATATCAGTTCTACTCAGACATGTAGTAATGAGTGTTTTCACAGTGCTGCACATGTGTGAACAGTGTGAGAATACAAGTGAGTTGGGTTAATGTGAACTAACTGTCATTCTGATGTTTAGAGAATATCTTTCTCAGTTTACACAGTTTTGCCCATTTCTGGTATCACATTAAATTTTTTTATTTATTTATTTTATTTTATTTTTTTTTTTTAATTTTGCTATTGGCAGATGGCATGAAGAAATTTGTGGCCATGTGGAATATCCCTGCCGTTTCCAGGATCCTGCTGCCAGGTTGGAGGCAGTCATTCCTTACAGAGTCTTTACTCCCCATTGCCTTATGGAATGCTGTGAAGAATATTTGCTTCAGCTAATTCCTCAGTGCCTCTCAGCTGCTTACACCACACTGGGTACCCACCCCTTTTCCAGGCTTGATGTTTTGATAGTTCCTTCCAACTTTTCCAGCCTGGGAATGGCTAGGTAAAGAAACTTCTTAGTATATGATCTCCTGTATTTTATTAGACTCCTTTTTATCAGCTAGTTAACAGTGTCAAATTGCTGTCAATATAAAGTTGCTGTGCTGTTTTTCTTAACTGAAACTTAAGACTCTAATTCTGTCTTCATGCGGTTAGGTTTGTTTGCATCCTTTGTGCTACGATCTTTGATTTTAGTTTTAACAAGACTTGGGGAAGGAAAATATAATCTTACTAGACATGTGGGTCTCAATTTCCTCATTTGCCAAACTGAGCATTTTTTATTGGTTCTATTGATTTAAATACTTGATGCTGCTATTACTCTGTCATGTTTTCTTTTGGCATTTATGTCACATATGTCTTGACAGAGAAAAAGCATGTTAAAATCCAGATTTAGAGTTTATTCATAGGCCTTTGTGATTTACAAGTTTTTAGTCAAGCAGTGGGCTTTGAAAGCTGAGTAAGGGAAACTGTAAGGATTATAGGATCAAGTTTTCATGGAATTATTGAGAATAAAAAGCTTAATGAAATATTTTTGGTTTTACAGTATAATTTGCATTTGTGCACCAACAATAGAATTTTAGCTCTATTATTTGTAAGACAATGTGTAGCAATTGCAATTTGCCATTTGCTGTTTTTTTTTTTGTAAATATTTTTTAAGTTGGTAATAAGATAGCATTTATTAATAGCAGAGAATGAAACTTCGTACTCACGCTTTGCCCAGTGCCAACAGTAGAGTGGATTCATCTAGGCAGATGGACACAGCATTCCAGATAAGAATTAAATGCAAAGCTCTGTGAGAAAGATGGGGACTGGAAGGGGAGATGTATTCCCAGACTGTTGGGTTTGTGTTTTGAAGCTCTTTAGGGAAGTTGTTGAGTAGATTTGGTATCTGAAGCAACTTCGGATTGCATAAATTGTGAGTCCAATTGCTGTGATCAACCAGAAGGTTTATTTCTTTTAACAAACTATATAATTAATCAAATTAGAAAATATTTTATGCTATGTGTTTTGTTTCTTATTTATATAGATTTTTTTCTACAGCTTTCCTCTTGTAATCCTCCTTAGGAATAAAAGTATACAATTATGCTGGAGTGTAATAATATCATACAGCTTTACTATAAAATTACTTCTTTTTTTTTTTTTTTTTTTTTTGTGAATATTATAAAATTTAAAACTTAAGCATTCAGTGACCCCCCTCTGTCATACAAGCCTTGTAACTCTAGACATCTTGTAGTGGTTGTTGAGTTTTCAATGACAGCTCTTTGCTCAATGAACTCCTGAACAAAAGCATCAACAAACTTACGTAAGTCCTGGTTGCTTTGGGCACCCACCGCAGATTGTAGTCTCTGATACTTTGTCTAGAGGTTTGATTTGAAGGTGTGATACTCTGTACCATGTTCTTAAAGCCATATGAAATTGGTAACACTGCTTGGCAATTTCCTCTGACTCGCAGGCATGGCACTAAAAGGTTGACATAGGTCCTTATGGATCACTGTAATTAAGGAAGAAATTGGCCATTTTACTTAGCTGGGTAATAAGAGGAGTGATCAGTGCAACCACAGAGGGCAAGACACTAGAAAAAAAAAAAAGAAAGCGGAGAGAGATGTCTAGGCCAAATGACAGCTCAATAGGAGAAATCTTCAGGTTTCAGTTGTTGATAGCTACTGCTCTTTGGGAAGTTGTCAGAGCTTCCCCTGGATGTACATGTCCCAGAATTTATAGGGAAAAGATGCCTGCAGGGTATTCTGTTGCAAAACTATCTGTGGTTGTCCAAGTCCAGATTGCATGTTCAGAATATTGTAATTGTGCTTTCTTTGTGAAGGAGATGAGAAAAACCTATCCTTTTAATTCCCTGTGCTTCTTCTAACCACTGTCAGTTCCAGGTGATCCATATAATTGAATATAGGTAAAGGTTGAAAGAAAGAACATGCATACTTCCTAATGCTTTTCATTCAACAGTTCATCAAGCCAAGCACATTCAAATTTTTCAAAATTGTAATAAAGGAATAATTTAATCTGTTTAAATGTCAAGCTGTATTTGGACAGCAAAGGAAATTAAGTGACTCAGAATAGCTCGTTTGTTCTTGTTCCGTGTGATTCGTCAAATAAGACTTCTATGTATATAGCAAGCTACTTAAATGGTTAATTCCTGTGCATGCAATGATGATTACCTAAATTACTTCAGTTAAGAATAAGTGATGTGCAAACCCATGTCCAAACCCCCATTAAAAAAGTTAGCTATTATCTTGGGTTGAAAGGGGTGCTGTAGTATTTATTTTTTTATCTTCTAGTCTATGTGTAGCAGTATAAACATAACACAGCATGCCAGCACAAAGGAGCTGCTGTTTTAAGAATTCTAATTGTACTCCTGTGTGCCAGGGAAGGAAGCAGTCATAAATTTTAGTCATTATCTGAAGTATCAGGGCTTTACAGCATTTGGCACTTTTCTTTGTCTGTTCCTCATTTGCCAGTACTTACTGTGTTTCTTTGTATCCCAAAATACTTCCTTTTGCTTAAGGGGGATGTTTCCCCAACATTTTAAACTGCTATGAAATGACTAGAGTTCTTGCATAGATTGACCTAATTGGGACTTTTAAGCTGTTTATTCCAGTAACCACTAGTGTGGGTCAGTTGCATTTCTCTTGACAGATCCTTTATAAGAAAAATTCTAGTTGAAAGCATATTAATTTAACTTGTATTTTCTGTACATGTCTTCATGTGTTTTTTAATTTGTTATGGACTTCTGTATAGGAACAGGATCTTGACTGTATATAATAATTGCAATCATCCCCTTTTGCTTCCCCCTGCAGATCTTTGAAGGTGGAGGATTTAATTTTGCACTCACTCTTGTCTTTATAATGTTTTAGTTCAAGTGATTCAGTGTAGTTTCTCCCAAATTTATGCTAGTAAAAGAAGAATGTGGCCTAGATGTCTTTGTTGGCAATATTATGTTAAACTGTACCTAAATTAAATGAATAAAGCATTGTGAACCAAATTTAAATAGCTTAAAAGCCAGAAATTCAGGGTTTTCGGTAGAATTTTGAGAGTTTCATGAACCCCTAACAGCACTTAATTGTCTAACTTTAAGTTCTGTCACTAGCAGAAGGGAGTGCATTGGAGAAAAAAGAGTAGGGAAGTGTGTCAGACAGCAAAGACTCTGGGTAGTTTAGCGAAGAGATCCCTGACCTCGTGCTACACTGAAAGGTACGCGTAGTTCATGTACTTGGAGAGCTAAGAAGTTAAAAGCAGGAGGTTAAAAGCACCATATTCTGCTCTTGATGATGACATGCTACTTCCTGAGGAGTTGTCAACTCTGCTGGCATTTAAGTAGCAGTTATTTCAGGGTTGCAAGTGCTCTCATTTTGAGCCACTAGTTACCCATATGAACAAAGCTGGCTGGAAGACTTCAAATAAAAAAACAGGGTCTGTGTGTTCCCTGGTTCTTTGCACTCTTCAGAGCGGTTCATTCTCTAGTCTAGTTTTATTGATCACATTTGAAAACAGCAGTGTTTCAAAATATCTTCCCACTTCTACTTAATTTCCTTTCCTTTTGGAAAACCTAAAGAGAGTCTGAATTCCTTGTTCTTTTTCATTCCCTGAGGAAGAACATTCTTTCAAATACGGGGAACTCTTTTTATGCCACCTGAGCATGTGCTTGAGACCTTGACTTCCCTTGCAGTGTTCAATTGCCTAAGTCCTTGTTTTCTTTTCTTTTTCTTTTTTTTTTTTGTTTCCCCATGGAAATACTTTTTTTCTGTGATAACTATTGAGGGCCTTTCACAGTCACACCGATCTCTTGTATTTCTATGATTTTAGAAACAGCTTACCTCTTTCTACTTCTTCACTGCAAATGTGCTGATATTTATTTTACTCCCCCGGGGGTTGTAAGCGTTTGTTTGCATTGAGTTGAAGTACTTTTTTTGAAACAGTGGTCTTCAAAGCCTTTTGTTTCTGTCACACACAATTTAAATAACATAAGATTACTGCTTTTTTTTTTGGTTTAAATTTATGTGCTTTAACTGTACTAGTTCTATAGTAAGTGCTAGCACAATTTAAAATTCTTAGCCAAGCAGAATGTGTCAATAACTTGAATAGTCATGTCACATGTTACTGAGAGCTGGACAGGTATAATGAGAAAAGTGTCTCTTTTGTTTGTACTGTTTCCTTAAACACTTATTACTGCTGAAAACAGAATAATGGGATAGATGAACTTCTGGTCTTATCTACTTTGGCTGTGTGTATAGCAATTTTGCTCAGCGAAGCTAGCAAGGAAGTGGGACCAAAGAACTTTTCAGCAAGAAACTGACATTTTCAAAACAGGATCCAAGTGTTAGGTTATTTGAATCCTATTGGGCTCTAAAATTAGTGGCCTTATTTTCAAGTATGAAACAAGGGCTAGACACCCTTGAAACCCAAATGGTATTTGATGACAGAAGCATAGAAGATGCTTGGCATATTTGTAAATCAGGTCACCTCATATAGCTGGCTATATATATGGATTTAGCAACTCTTCTTTCAATTCCTAGTTTTAAAGGTCTTAGTCACTCTTCTGTCATGTAAATAGTCTTTGGTATTTTAAGAGGAAAGAATATCCCTTTCTTCAAAACATGGTGTATCAGCAGAACTCCTGAGTGTTTCCAGACCATGTAACTAAGGTTGTTAACTTTTTAAGTTGAGAAAGGAGAAGAAGAAGGAAAAAAAAATTGTGGTGGGGGAAAGTAGCTTCTTTGCCTCTTTATTTTAAAGCAGTTTCTTTTGATCCATGCATCTGTGGCCACCGTTTATCTGATCTGTGTGTCTGCAGTGTTCTGGTGACAACTGATAAGTGTGTAGTAAAATCAGCCAGGAATATTGGAAAACATCCAAATGTCAGACCTAAATGTGAGTCTTTAGTACTGCTCAGTCTTGCAGACCTGTGACTGATTGTATGCCTCAACTGTAGAGCCTTTTGTAAGTGTGTATTTCCATATAAAATTTTTTGCACATTTTCAGTTCTTCTAATTT